AAAAAAAGTTATATGAAGTACTGGTGATATTTTGACCCCATCTATACATTCCCGAGAGGAAAAGAGGAAGTCCAGGGACACCCTGTATAGGTACAGTGCATTCCAATTGATACTTCTACCCTAAATGAGTCATTTGATATTGTGACGGTGAAAAATCGTGAAACACGTCAACTTTTCCTTTCAGGACGTCACATTTCTATGTAAAAAACTTTCTTATTTCCATTTTCAAAAAATACATGCACAGCAATGACATACAATTTCGATGCATAAGACGGACTTTGTTCATATATTGGAACATTGTGTTTTTAATAAATATACGTTCAGAAATAAATGTTCTTTTTGAAATTTCTTATTATCCAGATTATTTGATTTAATATTTGATAATTGATATTTTGTTTTCACATCAAGAAATAATCTTCACGAATACCACTCGAACTGAATATTTTCTCAGATAAATGTACCTACATTAGTTGAAACTCGAACTTTATTATTTTTGAGCAATACCAATTGAGTAACCAGCAATAGATAAAACCACTCGTGATTGTATGAAGCTGGATGATTGATTGCTGTTGTTGAATAACAAAGTTTTCATTAAAAACTGAAAATTCATCGATAAACTTTTGAAGTATTGTGGTATTACTTTCGATAAATACTCAGGTTGCACCTATAAAGAGAAACANTTTATTTTCTTGGTTGTTGCTTGTATGTTATTTCTTAGTAGTTTCAGTTTTTTGTTTAATAAAATTGTTATATTATATTAGACAATGGAAGTCCGAACTGATGAAATATGTAATCGACTATTTTCTAGCTGCAGTCACCTTGGATTTACAATGATACAAAATTTATTAAATTGTATTGTTATCAAAACTAAATATGTACCAAATATCAGATTAATCTATCAACAGGAAGGGGGTGTCAAACTTTAATTACTAAATTTGATCCAAACGAAGGAACAAATAGGACAAGGTAAATAAAACCGTTCAAAAATGATATGACGTTTTTAGACTCACTTTGCAGAACAAAAAGTTGCCATTTTTTCACGAATTATTATTCAGTCATCCTTGCTCACTGTGTTCCAACATGATTTGTTCTACTGAAGATAGAATAGAAATTGTTGCAACCTATTATCGAAATAATGAATGTGCTAAGGCTGCTGCAAGAATTTAAAATACGAATTATCCAGACCACAACGTCAGCCAGCAATACGTTAAACGTTAAATAGTTAATAGATAAGTTTCGAACTTCAGGTTCTGTTCACAGCAGAAAACATGAAGTATCCCGTCCTGTCAGAAATGACGGAGTTGAAGTTGCAGTTTTAGGACATGTACAAATGGATAATCGACAATCTATCAGACAAGTAGCTAGAGCGTCTGGTGTATCAGTTACTGGTGTTTTTCGGATTTTGAAAGCCGGCAAATTATATCCTTTCAAAATAAGCTTGGTTCAGGAATTAATCAAAGATGGTCTTGATCGTCGACATCAGTTTTGTGAGGTGTTCAGCTAGAAATTAACCAATAACCCAAACCTATTATAGATACAATACACGTTTTTTAGACGAAAGTTCTTTTATGTTGAATGATGAAGTGAATAGACATAATTGTCGTTACTGTTGTTACACATTCACAAACTCCACAAAAATTGAATGTCTGGGCCGGCATTCTTGGTAATAATATTGTTGGATTGTTGAATGTAATCTCAATGGGGACATACTTAAATCTGTTACAAGACTGTGTAGATCCTATGATTACACGAATTTTAGAAAATGATGACAATTTAGAGATCACACAAATTTTAGAAAAGGAAATAACATTTAAGCAGGATGATTCATCCCCACATTTTGATGTTCGTATGAGACAGTTTTTGGACGAACGTTTTCCAATGCGTTGGAAAACAGGGAATTAGTCCCCCTAGAAATAAAAATTGACGTGTTCTCTGAAAATTTTGATTACCTGTCCGTTTCTAACTCATAGGGAAGTTAGGTTTTTGTTGAGTATTTTTTTGTGTTTTCTAATAATTTTCGGTTATCGAACTTTTATACATTTTCCAATTCTGAGAAGAGACGAAGTTCCCCGGGTCATCCAGTAATACATAAATATTCCTGAAAGTAATAATTTTGATCAAATGTGACAAGACAACTATTTTTATTATAAGCGATATTTTCTAACGCGACCAATTGCACGCCAACTTTCTTCGTAACACATTGAAAAATGCGTCAACTACATTATCTCACAGGTGGGGCGCCGATGCATAATTATGTAAAATGAGACTTCTTCAGTTTTTGAAATCTTAGGAATGGCGATTCGTAGGAAAAATATTTTTTGACATATGACCTCGATTAAGTTATTTAGCACACATGGGGTTGGTGACTTTTGATATTTTATTTCTATCCTGTATTTTGGATTTGTATCAATTTTCAGTTCGTAAGCATATCATCGTAAATTGGGATTTCTATTTTGGCAGAAATGAAGAACGGTGTCACTGCCTTGAAGAATGATCGTGAACTGAAAAAAAAACGAGATCGATATATAACATTAGAATTGTAGATTCTCTCAAAAGTCCGGAAACAACCGAATGCGGCATGAAGACTACGAATAGTTTCATTCCTAATAGCTTATTGTTCACTTTTATGTGAATTGTTTTTTCAAAATATCATTGACAGATATAAGTACTCTAAGTTTGTTTGAAGAATAACTCAAATAAAGATGTCAACTTTTGTTAGAATGATGGTTTTGCGGAGGAAGGATATTTATCATTACTTTTGTGTTTCTTTGATTTAATTACTACACTTAGTATGTTAAATGTTGATAAAAAGTTACTTGATTGTCAAATAAAAACATTAATTTGAGTAGTTATCATTCACTAAGAAAACACAATGTTTTATAGAATATTGGATCTATATAATAAAAATAAAACTTCTGTGAGTATTTGGGTTCACAATACGTCTTTAAACGTTAACAATTTGGTCCTTTTAGCAAATCTGAATTGTGAAAAACNTCGACTAAGAAAAAATATCTTAGTATGCCCTGAAACTAATAAACATTTCAAATTTTATCCCAAGGTAGACCTTTTAGTACTTGACATTTCAAAAAAAAATTATTCAAATCGATTTACAACTTAAAATTTTAGGGGGGTGTTTCCATTTAAAATGGATCACACTGTATATACTGAAAATACCGGACTGACAATATAACGTCTGTCAACATTTGGGTATACATAACACCTGGGCTGAAAAGTCCTGGACCTAAGAAAGAAAACGCGTTTTTTTTTTGTTCAAAACAGCCAGTAGTCGCTGGGAGTCAATCTGGAAAATAGGGTGGATGTGGGAGCTATTCGAAGTTCTATTCATATAGTTTGACCATTGTTTTCAGCAACTTGTGACATGGTGTGACAAGCAACTTGTCTTCATGGAACATTTTCGACCTTTTAACGCTTGAATAACGCTATATAATATTCACCTTTGATGGTATTTGCCTTCTCAAGATAGTCGATGGATATTACACTGCTCAGAATCATCAAGACGTTCTTGTTTTTGGTCATGCAATATGAAGCCAACACTTCCATTTGATATCTTCATAATGTCAGCTAACTCACGCAACAACTTCACTTTCTATATGGTTTTTCTAAAAAGTTTTCTGGTCTTACTGCCAAATTGTTTTCGATCCATTGTTTTGAAAATAACAAAAGTAGTATCACCCTTAGTACAATTATTCACAAACTTTTGAGTAGAAATATGAAATTTCAACAGCTAGCGCCATCTATGTGTTAGACACGAGACTTTTCGGCCCATAAAATTTTAAATGAATTTTTTTAATCTTTTTGCAAAACAAATGACCTAGAGCAAATAAAACGCGATCGTTAATAAATCTCATCATCTCCCGAAATACTTGAATGTGTTTTGAATGATTTTTTGGATATGATAATTATGGACATGATCATTTTGTTTAACGTTTATTTCAAATTTTCTTTTTCAGTGTGCAAGTGAACATAACATTGAATGGGAATCAATACAAGAATGTGTGAATTCTGAAGAAGGTGACGAATGGCTCGCTGAATATGGAAATCGAACTTATTCTGTGAAACCGAAAATAAGTTTTATTCCGACCATAATTTTCAACAACATTTATAAGGAGCCCCTGCAGAATATCGCTCTGAAAAATCTCCACGATATAACGGAATATCTTCTGGATGATAGCAGATGTGACAAGAATGGAGGATTGAAGTTATATTCCACGTCACTTCTGGCGGTTTCTGTTTTGATTTCCATTGTCAAAATGTTTTAGAAAATAATAGAGATTTAATTGTTGAATTTATTTGTTAATATATTTATTGGAAAAATAGTTTGTGTGAAGGTTTTTCAATGTCACAGACGTTATGATTTATCTCTTTGTAATTCACGAAGCCACATATTGTTAGAAAAGGGTGTGAATAATAGTTGTTTTCGATTATTTTCGACATCATTTTGACATCTCAAATATTTGTTTCTTAGCTAATAAACCACTCAATTTTAGTCTTAAGGATTTATTGGCATTTATTCTCAACAAATTATCATATATTGAATTGAAATCCTTATGCTGGACGATGTATATCGTACATTCTTTTCTATGTCGAAGAAACCATTTTTGTTTATTTTGCAATATTTTAAGACCTTCGGAATTAAGATATTGCTGTATTCACTTCGACGAAGTGAATTCTCCCAGCAGGTTATGAATGAAAGAAGGTGATACGGATCATTTTCAATCCATAACTTGAGTTATTGCCAACGAGAATATCATCCATTCGAGTCGGTTCGTAGTCTTTCGTTCACGTGTTTCACTTTGATAATGTTGGCATGTCCTCTCTCACCCATAAAAAAAGGCATCTAACATGCCTTGTTTTCTTTCATTATCGACGCAAAAAGTCAGCATCCGAGTTCATAGGTGGACCTGGATAATGTCCATTATATGGGCCCAACAACAACAACTATTATTTTATAAGTTTGTCTAGAGAAATTGTCTTCCAGTTCTATGGAATATCGCGTCAACGTTTCCACATAATCTATACTGATACTATACAGTATGGGATTTTGCGAAAGCATCAAACACTAATCTTATTTCAAAGTCTGAGGACCGTATCGAGGAGAAATACATACGTATTAGAAAATAAATATGTCGCAATGTAATCTCGAAATATTCATCTCTCTCAACCTACCTACACAGTAGGTTCTGGTAAATGCTTATCGGAAAAAAACTACTTTCCTGGCTGATATCACGCTGAACATTGAATTAAATACGACAGACATCTATGCAGAAGTTAGCCTAGCAGATATTTCTCGTTAATTCAGCAGCATGATCATGCTGGAATCAATTGAGTAGATCACCTACAGACCGGTTTCGAAGTGTTATCTCTCATCAGTGCAGGGCAGATCTGACCCAAACAGCAGTGTGCCTGAGTTGGGAGAGATGAATATTTCGATATTCCATTTCGACATATTTATTTTCTTATGATCGTATTGAATTTGTTGGGGTTATGAAATACAAAATGTGGTAGATACCATATGATTTATTCTCCATATAAAGATTCGGGTTGAAGAAGACTCCAAAATTTTGTCAAAAACGGATTTCTTTCCATTTATATTGATTAATTTAATAGAACTGGCCGATACTTGATGAGAATCCATATTAAAAAACTAATTAATACAGTTTATTGTATGATTTTCACTATAAAGGGTTTTACAAAAACTGCGACACGTGTTTATTCTTGAGAAAGCTATTGTATAGCGAAAGACGTGTCGCGGTTTTTGTAAAACCCTTCATAGTGAAAATCATACAATAAACTGTATTAATTAGTTTTAGTTCGGCCAAGTGAATGCGTCGCCAGCCATTGCTTGCCAGCATCAACTTGTCCAAACGTGCTTGGGAAGTTTCTGTCTCTCTGTTTTGCTATTTCATCAGTTGACAGCACAGTGTCAGACGGTACCTATGAAAATGGATGAGGAAAAATTGAGTTGTTTATTGAGTCATGCTCTAGAATATCCAGAAGTTCTGAAAATTTGCCTGAAGTCATTCGGAAATACAGGAAAAATGTCTCCTGTCTTGTTTCAGGTCGTTGAAAAGATGATGATTTCCCCTCTTTTTTGCCTTCTTCTCCATTCAATTATGTGGCCACTATAATGACGACTTCTTCGTCAGAACTGCTAGTCATAGACATGTTTCTGTCACCGCTCCATGTCTACTGAAATTTCCTTGAAATCGAACAAACAGCACCTTCAGTATGCTAGTTGTAGCTGGACAAGTGGGCTACTACCCGTCGCGATCAGGCGACGTACAGCGGACAAGTAGGCGACAAGCTTAAACGTAACCTCGCATCTGGACTTCGAATTACAAAGACCATGCATACCCCACTCCATTCTATATTCAATTGCACGGACTGAATTTTCTGATCAATTCAATATCTTTTGAGTAATCACATGGTCTTGACTATTCAGAAATAGATATTTTTTTCTTGATGACTGTATTTGACAATCCTTTCGAATGTGAAAACTTTCGCCAATATATCATGTCCTCCTAACGGGTTAATATATTTGTGGGCGAGGGCGTGATTGGCAACGCCGACCCCGCCGTTTACCATATTTACCGCGTCGAGGCGTCGTGCTGGCCTCCCAGACCTGAGTCCCAGGGTATGCATCCTGGTTGTTTTACTGGCCCCGCCATGAAGCCACCCGTACGCCTCTCTCGGCTTCAGGGTGACCTTCTGGCCTACCACCACCCCTTAGCTCTTCCTCTAGGGTGCCAGTTCCGGGCTCATTCGAGATGTGATGCACTTCTGCGCGCAAAACATCCTACTCCTCCCAATAACCGCTAAGGGCCACCGATTGGGGGCATCTCGACGCCTGGCGTACGTCCTTCACCTCGTTGCATTCCTATGCAACATCCCTCTCTTTTCCGCGTTTAACGCCCGCCGGCGTAATTCCTCTTGGTATTTCTGGAATATCTCATGTTCCGAAAGTCCTGTCCATTTCCATTTTTGCATGATCTCTTTGTCGGGATCAACAATGGCTTTGCTACTCCGCAATTCGTCAATGGCACTGAATAGCTGTACACCCTGTGCACTGCAGGTCTTGGAGTTGCCACATAAGTGGGCGACATCTCCGGTGTGTTGAATATATTCCTATTCTCAGGCAGAATTGTCGCTTTCGGAGGGATTCCTCCTGCCGGTTCTCACCGTCGGCGGCTTAGTTGAGCGAGAGACGGCCTCAGACTAGTCATCTCTGCTGGAGTTCGTGGAATACTGTGTCCGGTCAACACAGATTCCAGCGAGGTTCCGCGTCGCTTGGTAGACGGCGCACTAGGGCGGCTAAAATTGTCTGAATTAGGGATGATTTGGTCGAAGTGGTTGACCTCGCGATTTGGCACTGTTGTATCCATTGCAAGTTGCGCTCGCGCTTGTCTTGCCCTAGTCTGCATTTTCGATTTTTTCAAAATAATCTGACTTGGAGATAGGTATAGGGGAGGATTCACGGAAAGCTAATACTTTAAGTTCACCCTTGGATCGCTAAATTAATTTCCTAACTAAGGCCTATAGAGCGAAGTGAGCTAATATTTAAGGAACATGGAGTCTAACTGATGAACCGCACCCTAGTATGAGGGCCGTCCTCAGGATGTGGATGAAAGGTTCTCCGATGTCCTGGAAAGGTTCTAACGGTTACGTTGAGTCGATAGCCCGTAAGGACTGATCTGGTGATAACTTGACCCCCAAGTTTAATCTCGATACATCTAGGCCAGTTAACACCGTAAGGTTAGCCTGGTGCATGAGTCTGGGCAACTTTAGTAGGGACCTACTCTTCCTGCGTAGTATTTTGGTGGCAAGCAGAAACCTGAACAGACAAAAGTATGGTTAAATAATCCAAAAGAAACAAATCCAATCCTCGATACTCCTGTAAATCTCCAGCGGGTCCTAAAAAGAACCAGAGATTTTTAATGCAAGAAATTCCTCGTGAGATCCGCAATGAATCCAATAAAAAATCCTCGAATTCCAGAAGCGCAATATTTTTCTTAATTAGTTCTGCAAAGAACCAGAGAGTCGAAATCTTTCAAATTACTCCAGTCGAAGCTTTCCAAATAAACTCCTTTAGAAATCTCCTTCGAATCATGTTGATATAAATTGTTAACGATGAGATCTCATCCCAAAAAAATTGCTGTTTTCATCATTTACTAATTTGCACAATCATGTGTCTTGGGTTTTCTTGGGTCGAAATGTCGTTATTAGTTCACTGTAGACAGATGAAGGCAGAATGTTTCACTAATGCTAGTTAAACCAAGGTGTTCATTAATTATTTCATCTAGGAGTATGACGATGGACTCTTCATCACACAATACAAATAGAGAAATATATTCGGCTGGACCGTAAAATTTCACAGGAATCGTTCGTAAAATGATCTTTTTATATCATGTCGCATGGTGCAAATCACCTATTTCAGAAGATCGTTCTTCCCCATCCAGGTCGTGGTTGTTGATGAAGCATGAAATGATGATACAACTGACATCCGCCAGTGCTGCATCTCTTATTCCAAAGACATTTTTACAAACACATTTTGATTTCTGATGGTTCTTTCGCTAGAAAGAAAAACACTTTTTCTTTTGTCACAGTACTTCACCTTTTGTCGGTGCGGTCAGGTTTTGTTCATAATTATCATAATGAGAGCAACAGGCTGTACTAACGTATCACACTGCGTTTGACGTATCTACAGTTATATTCGCACAAATTTATGTTATTTCAAAGAAAAAAAAACGTCAGAGCTCTTTTTGGTAATTTTTTGTGTAATTGACAAATTTGAGGTTGGACATTTAAGTGGGTACGACTGCTTCACTCGAATATTATAAATTTGAATGGGATTTGAATTGATTCCATTGTTTCTCGATACCATATTCTGACAAGAAAACATGTATTTGAAAAGTTAGTTAGCTGCTTATACTCCATGAGTTATACTCCACCATGAGTCAAGTGAAGCAGTCGTACCAATGTTAGTTTCCGAACTCAAATTTGTTAATCGACCATATTCACAAAAAATGGTTGCGCATGTTTCACGTGTTTCATGATTGACAACACTGACATTTGACATATAATATCAAGAAGAATAATTGGTTATAAAATCACGAACATTTTAACAATTTTTAATATTTGAATGTTTATAGTTTGTTGTGTTTATTTATTTTATGTTGTGTTCTTTGGTTTACCATTCCATTTTTGAAGCAGCAATAAAATATGTAAAATGAACAATTGGCAATACTTTAGGGTATTAGAGAGAAGGTGAAAACAGTATTATAGTGAAAGTTGATGTGGAAGTCGCAATGACAAAGAGC